TACTATGGAAGCTCTTTAATATATACTCTATACTATTTAAGTATCACGACTATCACAATTAATAGGTTTTGACTATGGGCAAGGACGGGCACATAATTCTGTACACTTTTGGTTTCTCTTATCACAGCTGCAATTTCCCTGACACATTACTTTGCAATTACATTTAACAATTATATCTTTGCAGGCAACCGCGGCAGTTGGTTTTGTGCGGTACACCAGTTTCCAGCATTCTTCTTCAAGCACAAAGCCCCAATCGGATGGCGAAGGAAGTACCTGATTTTTTTTATTGTCAGCTGACTCCACACCTGAGCACAATAAGATGATCTTCGAAGGTGCAGAAGAGTTGCGTCTTCAGTTGGAGGTATGTTGTCCATCGTTCGGTTGCTGCTGCAGTGCAGTGATCGGCGACACTCCGTTAGAGATTCGCAGCGCCGCGAACTGAAAGTAAAATTGTAGTTTTAAAAATTAGAAAGGATATTTCTGTTTCTGACGTTCGTTTTTGATCTTATTCGTATTACTTACGGGCTGTACATTGCCATGATAAATTGATACAGAGCTGACTTTGCTGCTTCCACATTTCCCTCACATAAGTCAGCTAAAGCGTCTACAGTTTGTGGGCGCAATTGATTAGTTATACTAGCCCAATTTGTGCGCCGTAAGAAGGTGTTGCTATTTGCCCAAGTTTGGTCGAACAACTTGTACAAACAACAAAACACAATTTGGGTAAAGGTATAAAGGAATGCTATTCGCCCAACAGCCAGGATGGTGACAGATCTGTGCGGATAAGAAATCCGCTCTGACTTAGCCCAATTTAGGCAATCTTCAGTAGCGTCGTTATTCGCCCAACGCAAAGCCCGTTCTCGGTGGGCAAATAACATAGTTGAGAAAGGATGCCCAAAGTTGTGCGGATAAGAAATCCATTCTGACTTAGCCCAATTTGGGCAATCTTAAGTAGCGTCGTTATTCGCCCAGCACAAACCTAGAACAACCACGAACAACAGTCTGCAGCAAGGGAAGGTCCACAAAGAAACAAAAGAATGCTCAAATTGAATGTAATAAAAAATAATTGTTCCACTGTGCAGAATTAACAGCGTCATTATTTGCTCAACCAACATCAGGAACACTATAATATTTCAGCTTTTTATGTTATAGTAGGAATACGTCATATGCACCACTGACATCTAACTTTGCTTTTCTTAGAAGTGCAAATTTAGGGCCTCACAGAAAATTAAAATGCACTTCTACAGTCAGTGGAAATTATCAGGAAAAATTATGATGAAGGTACCTATTGACAATTTTGAACTAAAACAAATCATCTTACCAAATTTTAAATGTATAAGACATTTTTACATTTTTGTTCTTGGGGTGTAGTGTCCCAGCCAGAAATGAAATTCGATCGACGTCGAATCGAATCGTCGTTGCTCGAAAAACGCAATTTTGGCACTCAAATCGAGGTGTCGAGGTCGAATCGACATCGAATCGACGTCGAAGAAATTTTCATTTCTGGCTGGGTGTGTTGTGTGTTTTGTGAAGAAACGTTCAAGAAATATTTGAAAAATTAATAATTTACATTCTTACTGCCTCTATGGTATGTGTTTCCGTATTTTATCTCTTTGTTGAAATGGTAAAATGGTGAAAAGGTAAAATATAACATAACTGCACAGTTTGTTTATGTTTCTAGCAAAGTTAAAAACCAAACTTGTTTGGTGGATCAAATTCTAGAAGAATGTGGGTGCTTTGGTGTCATTGAAAGCCATCTAACACTAGAGGTTAAATAAAAGGTTAGTCAAATTGATATCGAAAATAGTTTACTGTAATAAAATCTTTAAAAAAATTCTAAAAGCTTTTAAAAAATATGTCTAATGTCATGTTTTAAAAACAGGATGCCAAGGATTATCATGGTTTTGATAGAGTGTATCTGTTTTTTTTTGTTGTTTTTTTCAACTGCCTTCCACTCCGACTTTGCTTGGGGGGAGAGCCTGTTAATAAAAAATAATTTGTTAGTAACGGCTTCTATAAAGTACAAGAGATTGTTGAATCTTGTTATTACAGTTAGATACCTGAAAATGCTGGTTGAGAAGCATCATTATTTGATTCACATATTTGTCTCTTCTGTGGCTGACTGATGGTACATTGATCTGCAATTATGCAAACAAATTAGAATACATCTGAAATCTTTGAGGTGATATATAATGGATGAATGATATCAATGAGTAGGGTGATCATGTTATGCAGCACACATGAGGAACGACTCACCACTCAATCTGATGAATGAGAGAGCACCAAGCCTTCTGAGTGGAAACACAATTAACATAAAACACCAAATTAATGCAGACTTGTTCTGCTATTATATCCAAAAAGGAAAGTTGCGCATTGCTTTCATTAAAAAGCTAGAAGTATACATAAGGAGTATGTGTAATTGTGTGACCCATCAGAAGGCTTAAAAAGATCTGGAACAAATTAAGGCCATCTAATTAGAGTTCACGTGCCAACTCCCTCATGCAAGAAAATAAAAGTAAATGCAAAAGCTCCAAACTTCAGTTCTCAGCAAAAAAAAGCCCTCCAGCATGCTACTATCAGAGTAACCCTACTGATTCTGGTCAGCTTCACTACTTTGCACAGAACACTTAAATGTTACGGAAAAGTACAAGAAAACCATACACTCTAAAAAAAAATTAATACAAAAATCTGTAATTTGGATATGCAGTTTTTTCAGCATCCGTGATACAAAAAATTGTATGCTTTCGGATGCAATCGGGCACATAATTCTGTACACTTTTGGTTTCTCT